TTCGTCGCGCTGTGATGATGTCAGGTACGCGGTTTCGTCGAGCGTGCTTTAGTCGACCGTGGTTTTGTGGTGGAACCAAATTGGGATAGCAGCCATAGAACATTACAGGAAACGGAGTTGATCTTGCTTCCTGTGCTACTGTTACTATAAACCTAGCAATTAACTGTCATTTTTATTCTGAAAGAAAGAGTCAGGACAACTTACCTGTCCGTAATTCCTAGACCCCCATTCAGGAATGTGTGCAGCAAACTGTGATGTCAACAAAATAATGCTCCATGCAAAGAGACATCATCAAACAAATGTCACTATGATGTACGGAATTTGTGTCTAGCATCTGAATGAATTAACTTAATTTGTGGCATTTACATGATGACATCGATACCATTAACCATAATATCCTGACTGCCTGGCCAGAGTTGGGATATAGTATTATGCTGCTTTTCTTTCCACTTCTAGGGTCAGTTCCATTCAGTGTGATTATGTAAGGAGCTATGGGAATAACCTTGAGGAACAGAAAGAACCACAACCAATACAACAGTCAGATAAAATAAATTTGAATACAAAACAAAAAATTTAGTTTAAGGAAGTATTTCAGACTTGACCCTCCTTGTTGTCACAAAGACAAAGAGAGGGAGAGAGGTGCATATTCAAATACGCAAGATTCTGTTATAATCATATAATGAAAGTAGTAGCTACATTCATCCTTTTGGCTTTCTAATTTGGTCTACCTCAAAAGGCTGATGGATGCAAGGAGAAGTCTGCTCATGGCCTTTTATATTGGGTGTCTGTGGGCTTGACTGACTCTCCACAAACATCTACATGAAAACTCTGGGTGAGGTCATTCAAAGGCATGGGATGAGGTAATATCAATGAACTATGACATTCAGCTTTATGTCTCTGCCCCCAGACAGCCAAGTGACATTGAAGAGATTGGGTTTTACTGCCTAGAGGCCACAGAGGTCTTAATGGGAATGAACAGGGTCTGCATAGGATGAAAAGAGCCGAGGTGGCGCAGTGGGTAGAGTGCAGTACTGCAGGCCACTTCAGCTGACTGCTAACTGCAGTTCGGCGATTCAAATCTCACCAGCTCAAGGTTGACTCAGCCTTCCATCCTTCCGAGGTGGGTAAAATGAGGACTCAGATTGTTGGGGGCAATATGCTGACTCTGTAAACCGCTTAGAGAGGGCTGAAAGCCCTATGAAGCGATATATAAGTCTAACTGCTATTGCTAAAAGGCTTTAGCTCAACTCTAGGAAGACACCGTGGCTTTGGGTATCAGGATCTCCTGTTCTTCTGATTTTCCATCCTTAGTTCTGGATGGGGCTGCACTACTCAAGACAAAATTGGTACGCAGTTTTGGTGTCCTATTCAATGCACAGTATTTGTTTGAATTGCAGCCATGGCCTGGGGAACCTTTGCACAGATTAATGTTATGTGCCTCTTATGCCTGTTCCTGGATTAGGTGGCACAGTATATAATAACTCGTTCTTTAGTCACTTCCTTAATGCAAGTCGCTCTACATATGGCTTTTTCTAAAGAACCTCAGTTGTTCCAGAATGAAACGGTCTGGGCAATTACGGGAGGCTTTTTTGTTGCACATCTGCTCCACAAGCTGCACTGGCTCCAAATTTGCTCCTGGGTATAGTTGAAAGTGATCATTTATTGTAAGAAGCAATTCATTTGGGGCCAGGATCTCCACCATGTCACCAGGTAAAAGGGACATGTTCTGGGTCCCATCAATCAGGGATTGTCACCTAACATTGTGCTAACTATACTTCATCTGCAATTTAATTTAAATTTAATTTAGTTGATCTAATTTTGCTTGTAATTGAGTCATGAACAATTATTCTTTTGGCCCCAACCACTTTTGAGAGGGCACTCCCTTACCTGCTTCTCTACAATCAACTGCAATACTTAGCTTGAAAAACCTTGCCCAGTCTTAATTTAAAAACAACTTTACCCATTAAACTACTAAACTTAATTGATTTTCTTCCCTCTTCTCTGGGCCTTTCTCTTAATTTCCCTTGTTAATTTTGACTTTTGCTTATGTTGTGCTTATGCTGAGAGTCAAATCTCTCCATTGGAGAATGAACTACAGCAAGTAAACTAAGCAGAAAAACAATAGAATTTGGTTATCCCTAAGCTTATTTCTACAAAGAAATATTGTGTCCTAGTAGTGTCCTCAAACCGGTCATAATTGAACAATAAGACAAAAGGTGTTTTCTATTTAAATGTACATGGGAAGGACCTGTAGAAAAGAATGACGAAGTAAAAGATTCAGTGCAAAAAGTGGATGAGAAGTATTTGTTTGCAGTGAATGGAAGGAGAGAGAAAACGAGGTGATAATTAAGAGACTCTGTTGCGAAGGGCAAGAGGATTACTATTATTGACTTTAATGGGATATCCATTAAAGCACTTTGTCGATCAGTTTTTTGGTTTGTGTTTCAGCTTATATTTGGTTTTTAGTTGTGGGAAATGGCTAAAGTACATTTACATGCTGCAAATACCATGTTTCTTTAAAGTACTTGGCTTTATTTACAGGTCACTGGATTTCTTACATTTTGTTTTTCAACTTTTCCCAGTAAGTATGACATGTTGGTTTTAAACGTTTCATACTAAATGTATAAAGTAATTTATTGTGAATTAATTACTAGAATATTATTTGCTAAACATCATGCTTGTTTGCACAAGGCAACATTGTTTTTAAGGGAAAAATGACCAAATAATTTTTGAATTATTGTAAATATTTTTAGAGGGATTGTAATAAAACTTAATACAAGTCTGCAATGGAATCTTCACAGACTTGATTGTTCCTGCTCCTTATCACTTTATAATTTGGTGGCACAATGCTAAATCATAAGCATTGGTTTGATTTATTTATTTCTGTTAACAATTAGCATCAACACTCACCTCTTTCTTTCTGTTGAAGTAACTACCCAGTGGCAGTTCCTACCAGTTCAGCTGAAACGGTAGTGGTTTGGCAGCCTGGATCACTGGAACCGGCAGCGACCCAGGCCTGCCACACCCCCAAACTGGATTCCCATAGTGACAGCAACGCCATCTTGTTTTTCAGTTCTGCGCATGCACAGCGTGCATCAAGCATGCATCAAGCGTGCATCAAGCGTGCATCAAGCGTGCATCAAGCGCACACAAAGCACACACATGAGCAAAGCGGCAGGAGTGCCTGCCGGAACCCACCCCTGAAACTATCCCAGGTGACCTTTGATAATAGAAAATCATAGCAACAAAAATAATATTGATTTCTTGCTATACCGTATGTATAGCGGTATTTATCCATCAGCCTTCAATGCCACCTGATAACCAGCATGAGTTTACAGAGTGCCACCTTAGCAAATGAATATCCTAGGGCCAAGGCAGAACTACACGGTGCTTATTTATTTATATATTAAATTTATATGCTGCCCAGCTTGGAGTTTGAAGCAACTCTCGGCAGCTTTTATTTAATTAATTCTTTCATGGCTTGGATTCAGGGATTGATTGTACAAGGGAATGGCAGCCTTGGTTTCCTTCCTTGCCCTATACGTGCTTCAACTGCTTACAGTTTGTCCAAGGTCAGCTGAGAAATCACCAAATTAATCAAATTAATCACCAAATTAATCAAATTAATGTAGGAAAGTTTAGTAAAGAAGTGGGAAAAGTGAGAAGTGGGAAAAGACTTAACTCACTTTCTATAATCCTATCCTATATTTTGTATTTGCAGTTCCTTTTTTTAAAATTGTTACTACTTTTTAGGACAAAGACTTTTGCATCATCACAGTGCCACATATGGTCCCTGAATTTCACCTGATCCAGAGTTTTGTTAGGATTATTCCCTTCATCAATTCTACACTGGATCAGGAGCTGTATGTATTTCATCGATCTGGATTGCTCAAGTTAGTAATACATTTTGCTCTCACAACTATTTTCAGATAAAATATTTTGATTGGAAATTAATGCATGCCATTTCCTACAATGGAAAGCCCTTTAGCAGATACTCATGCTCTTGTCACCTTTCAATGGATTAATGCAATGCAATGTATTTAAAACCCACTCAGAACTTAGCATTTGTCCAAAACACAGCAACACAGACAGTAGATATGCCACATTATACCCAGGTGTCATCCTTGCTTCAGGAACTGCACTAGTTATCAGTTCACTCCAGGGTGCAACTAAAGTGGTGATTATCGCCTAGTAAAGCCTTACAAGGCAATGGACCATGTCATACTGATTAAGGACTAAAATGTAGATTTGTTAAATTCTAATAGATCATCATACAGAATTGTTGGATTGAATGGAGTGTATTGGATTACTAATTTTGCATACTCAAGCTAAAATAATATCTGGACTGGGGATAACTTTTGAATATGAGTATATTTGTACTGTCTGTATATCTGTATTCTTCCCGATATCATGCTCCATCCTATACATAGGTTTGAATATCTATTTAAATGTCACAGAACAGCCATTTTCCAAATATCGCTCACAAAATAGCAAACAAACAAAAGTGATATTAAATTAAATGTTAAAATAGCATAAAACCTTAAAATACTACACCACATTAAACGAACAGTATTTTAGCTGTTTCAACATTTGCTCCTTTATATGAACCAACAATATGAAAGCATTATTGACGAGATTTGGTATGAATGAGAAATGAGAGAAAATGTATGTGAAATTAGAAAAACCTGGACCACCAGGTTTCATCTGGTCTCTCAAATTAAAGTATAATTCCTGGAGAAAATATGGATATACATGGAAAATGGAGCAGTAATGGAAAAATCTGAGTATAAGATAGTGCTAATAATCCCTTCTGATGAAGATATATATAAAAAGCAAAGATCAATGCGATGTGTTTGCACTGTGAAGGTTTAAAAGACATGTGAATAGAAAGCGAGTTGCTGAAAATGGATAAAAGCAAGCTATCTAGAAACAGCATGGGGGCACGGGGGTAGGAGAACTAAAAGTACATACTTACCAAGATAAAGGGAAAAAGCTCCAAATGAAAAACTGATTGGCAAAGATTGTAAAAAAAGGGAAAGCCTTATACAATAAGCAGAAGATGGCAAATGCAATACCAGGTTTGCTACTTAAGAACGAGGGCTGGAAAACAATAATACAACGAGGTGTAGCCTGAAATGCTTAATGGATACCTCTCTAAAATTTTGAATGCAAAGTACAATAATAATGGTGCCCTTACATCTGGACAGTCAAGTGATTCAGGCTTCTAAAATGAGTTAATTCTTTACTGAGAGGAAAATGAGCATGTACAGACTAAGATAGCTTTCTTCCACTTTGTTATTTCTATAATAGGTCTTTTTTTTTAAGTGCTCCATTTTTAAGGTATATTTTTAAGGTTATTTAACACATTTTGCTTATTGTAACTAATTGCATATGCAGAGGCTATTTTTGTATTATTAACACATATATGCAAGAGATAGAAGCAAACTGCACTGTTTGGCATCTAGAAAAAGAGGAAAAGAACATCTAAAGTCACTACAAAATGGATGTTGTATTAACATAAGAGTAAACGCTTTCTTTCATTTAGAAAAGTACCCATGTTTCAAACCTATTTTCTTTTCAGCTCTTTGTGCAACTTGTTTATGAATAGTAAAAGGAAATAGTCCTGAAAAACAGCAGCAAGATGAAAACAGGTTGAATAATTTTCTAAAATCAGTAGTTTTGTATTGTCAGCTGGCAGGAGTTTTCTATCTCTCCTGGCACGGATTCAGCTGGAAATTGAATGAAGTATTAGAAAAGGCATAAATATTAGGCTGATGAAAATTTATAGTGTTGATGTAATATGAGATATAATATATTTAAATTCCCTGCGAACACAGTAATAGCTCTCAAACCAACTTCAATATGAAAACTCTGTATCATAACTTGTGTTCCCCTCTTTCCCCTCTTTTAACAGTAGTTATTTTATTGTTGTCATTTATTATTTTATCATTTTAATGTTTTTAAAGTTGGAAAGAGTTGCCTCTGGACAAGATGGGCAGCACATATATCAAATTAATAAATCAATCACATTTCCTTTTTTCTTTATAGACAATCATTACTGTAAGCTCATTATATATCATGATTGCCTATTCAGGTCTGGGATCAGAACATTAGATATTAGTAGATATCGTTGTTGGAATTAGTTTTGTTTTCAACAGGTCTTTTCATGTAAGAGCAGCAAAATCTACTGATGTCTTTGCCATTAAAAGACTAATCCAAACCCTGGAATTGAATGAAGCTATATTGGATGACCTAAATAACTACTTATCAGCACGAAGAGATCCAGTAAGTGCTATAATAATACTGCTGGGAGGGAGGTAATAGTGAATGGATTTTATTGTAATTATTTGTAATTCACTCAATAATAGAATTGCTTTGGGCAGATTACAGACTAGTTAACTCTCTTTTTAAAAAAGAAAGAAACATTAAGATGTGAAATTAATAAATCAGGTTGAATAGAAAACAGCAAGATTCCTTGGAGAAGTAGAACGTCAATGCTTGAACTAAAATACATTAATGTACTTGGAGATCTGCCTGTCTGGAGAGAAATTCCACAAGGAGGATCCCATATCTAAGAGAGTCCTTTTACTTGCAGCTGCCTACTTCATTTCATTTTACTTCTAAAGTTGATTGAGGGACCCAATGGGGGAATTTTCTTTAGATTGTCTACACCCAGCTTCTCAGGGCCAGTGCAAAAACCTTGAATTGGGCCTGGAAATAGATAGGCAATCATGTTGTTGATGGATTACTGGCATGATACGATTATATTACCTAGGCCCAGATAGTTGAAACTAGAGCTGCAAGTTACTAACTGAAAGTACTGAATCACCTTCAAAAATAGCTGCTCCTTAGTTTATTCTGTAGCTTACTAAAGCATTAATAGTGGATGCCAGAATATCTCATCCCAGAAAGGATTGCAGCTAGTATATCGATCTGAACAAACATAGGTGGGCTGCTGCTGGTTCGCACCAGTTTGGGCATACTGGTTGTTAAGATTCTGCATAGTTTGGTGAACTGGCAAATCCCACCACTGGCTGGCCCCGCCTGCCCCACCCTATTTCACATCGACTGCCTTGGCTGAGAGTCATGCCTGCACCTAGCTACTCTCTGGCTCTTTCACTCACTTGCCCAGCCCACATGACCCAGCTGATCTCCGTGCCTCGTTCACTCTGCTCACCGCAGCTGCCCACAAAGGTAAAGCCACCATGAGGTAGACATGGTGAGACTTGGCCACCTTTTGGCCCTGGCTCTTGCCATCCTTCCGCCTGCATGCCACCTGTTCACCCTTCGCCTCAGGTCAGGGGACGCACCAGTCCCTGGCTCTGGCCTTACCCGGGGCCTCCGCTCACATGCCAGGCCGCTGCGGTGAGAACGGTGTGAGCCCCATGGGCTAGAAGGTAAGGCTGATTTCTGCTGCAAAACCCTTTTTAAAAACCTTGACTGTCAAGCAGTAAGACCCAGAAAAAAATGAGGTGCCAGAGAATCATCGTTGCTGCTGCTGCTGAAAAGTAAGTCTAAGGCTCCGGCCGCTATCACCCACCCTACCTTGTTGTGAGTGACATTGATTTGGCCATGCCCATTCAGTCACATGAAACCCCACCCAGTCTTTAGGATGAACTGGTTGTTAAGTTAGTTGGACTCCACCACTGTGGACAAATAAAAGTCTTTCTGAGCAACAAGGCTACCTGTGTCCAGTTATAATAGTGTTCTGGCCCAGCCTTAGCAAAAGCAAGAAATAGACTCCTTGTCATGAAAACCCCCACTTTATTTACCTCTTGTGAATTAATTGCATTCACCCATCAAAAAGTCCAGGCAATAGTCCTTCAAGGAGTTAACTGCAGTAACAGACCTTATCAGTTCCTTGCGATAATTGCAAGACCGTGAGCTCCCAGCCGAAAGATTGCAAATTAAGTTCTGGCAAGCAGTCTTTGTGGCATGAAACGCAATGAGCAAAATCTTCAGAAATACGAACAGTTGTCTCCTATGACCACTACTACCCATTCCTATTTATTCAGATA